GTGAGCCTGGAGGCCAGCATGCTTGCTGGTATGTTGACAAGCACCAGGGTTCGCCATTCGTCTGGAGTTTCTTTTGGACCTGACACTTAAAAATCTGCAAGAATTGTCCAGCCCTGCTCTTTCTCACTCCTTTGCCTCTCTTGTAGACAGCCCTGGCCACGCCCAGTCGGCTTCTCTTTCAGCTTCGAACTTCTCCATAAGCCTTGGATACTTTCTCTCTCTTATTCACCATAAATCCTTCCATCTAATGGAGTGGCCATTTTGGCAGTTTCTTTCCTGTGCCCCATCTCATACAACTGTGACTATTATTATTATAAAATGAAAAAAAAAGAATTAAGAAACGAAAGGAAGAAGGACATGATTGCGTCCAGGTCCAGTGCAGGAGAAAGTTTATTGCAGGCAAAAGGGAGGCATGGCCAGAGGCAAAGACAAATGGGAGCGTCCAGAGTGGTCAGGAGCCAGAGCCACGTGCAGAGGGCAAGGGCAAAGAGGGGAACCAGGTAAAGCAGTCAGGAGGCCCAAGGAGAGGAATGATAACTAAAATGGATTATATAGGGAAGGGCAGATGGGAGGAGAGAAATTTAGGGTAGGGATGGGATATGCCATCTATAGCAGGTAGGGATAGAGGAATGCAGGGAGAACCGGCAGTCAGAGTCCAGTCTGGTGTGTTAAATAGGCACCTTCGCTATTTGTCCTGGGTTTGAAACCTAACAATTGCACCATTTCCTGCCCTGTTATATTGAGAACCAGGCCCAAAGTCACAAGCCTGTAAATTCCAGCTACCTGGGAGAGTGAAGCACAGGGATTACAAATTGAAATCCAACCTGGGCAATAAATGTAACAGGAGATCCTATCTCAAATTACAAAGTTAAAAAGAGGGCTGGGGATACAGGTCAGTGGTAGAGTGCTCACCATGCACGAGACTCTAAGTCTGAGTCCCAGAACTACCAAAAACATTTTAGAAAAGAAAGTGGCCATCCCAATGACAGAAAAGTTTTTTGTTCTCCCAGAATTAGAATACCCACAGTGGTTTGTTGTGTACACTCAAAAATGTTTTACTCATCATTTTTTGCCTGCATTTCAGAAGCATCTTTGGTGTACTATATTGGGTCCAACTTCTTCAAATTCTGCAGCCGTGATCCACATGTCTTGGAAGGCAGACAAGGATGCAAGAATAGACCCGCCCATCCAGGCTGATATTTTCCTCTCTGGGGGAGCGGTCACCTGCACAGGGGTATTGGCTGGTGCCATCTTTGCCACCTCCTTAACCAGTCGCTTGTCTAAACCAGGGAAAGTGGTGGATCCTCCAGCAAGGATAATATTGGAGAAGAAGGCATTCCTGAGATCCGTGTCGCAATTCATGATGCTGCTGAGACACATCTTATCAATGCCAGGCATGTCCACATTCAGAAGCCTTGGAGAGAAGAGGGCCTCTGGGCAACGGAAGACCTGGTTATGGAGTTTGATAGTCTTCCCGTCAGGCAGCGTGTATATCTTCTCTCTGCCTGGCTCCTTGGCCATTTCCTCCTCATAGTTCATTGCCACATAACAGATATTCTCCTTAATGTCCGTAACAATCTTTCTGTCCCCAGTTCTAAGCAGCATGACACCATCGTCCTTCAACAACATCATGAGGTAGCTGGTGAGGTCAAGTCCCGCCACATCCAGCTGCTTTACACCATGAGGCAGACAGTACCCCTCAAAGACCGGCACACACTGAGTAATCCCAGCGCCTGAATTCAGCACCAGGCCAGTGGTGAAGCCAGCGGCAAAGAGGGCCAGCACAGCTTGCACAGACAGATAGAAGGCAGGGACGCCCAGGTTTTCAAAAAACACTTCAGAGATGTGCTGCCGGTTCACCAGTGGGTTCAGTGCAGGCTCTGTAACCAAGACTGGGCCGTCCCTGGGCTTCAGGTTTAGGCTATAGTCATAGACATGCTTCCACATGATCTCCATGTCCCCCCAGGAGGAAATGAGGCCCCGGTCCACTGGATAGCTGGAGGGAGAACAATAAGATCCATAAGTCTCGTGCTTTTGTGGTTGTTATTAATGGTGGTTTTAGATTTTATATAAAATTATATATAAATTATATTATATATAAGTCATATAATATAAATTTATATAGATATATATCATATAATCAATATATAACATAATCTATATACATAATATATTATACACATAATATATTACATTATATGTTGTATATAAATATATATTATATATATATATATAGTTTGATAGTTCTTATTTTTGAGACAGTCTCACTGTGTAGTCTTGTTTTGAGACAGTCTTACTGCATAGCCCTAGCTAAGCCTAGAATTCAATTTGCAGACCAAGCTGGTCTGGAATTCAGATTCTTGCCTCTGCTTCTGCTGGGATTAAAGGTGTGCTACATAGATCTCTAATATGTGTCCTCTCTGGTCTGTTTCAGCTAACGCAAATATTGACCAGTATTGCTTTCTGGTCAACAACAGAAGACAAATACCAGTAAATGGCTACCTTTCTCTACGGTCATTTTGCTTAGCCAGTTTTTTCCTCTTTGGAGAATGTTTCTTCAAAAAGTTGGGAAATTTCCACATTCTGGTATAGTTGTAAATAGTTCAAGAGACCATGCCAAATGACCAAAGCTATAAATTAAGTCACATTCTTAGGCGGACACCTATACATTTGAATACATTTGTGTAAAGAGAACAGAGGTTTTTGTGAGGGGGTTTCTCTTCCTGGTCCTTTCAGGGTGGCTTTAGCTCTGGACTCTCCACCCTCTTCCACACCCACCCAGGCTGCAGCATCCCGTGGTACCTGATGGACAGGAAGCTCCGGCGCTCCTGAGCTTGGTCACCCACACACAGCTCCCGCGCGCCGTCCATCGCAGTGTTGTGGCCCTTGGTCCGGCCCAGAATGTTCGGGTAAACGAACTGGGGCTCCCGAGTCCCAGCCAGGCCCGCCTTGATCATTCCCGAGCCACTGTCGATCACCACCGGTGGCTGGTAGCCGCTCATGTCGCCGGCTCTGCTGCCTCTGCGGCCGCGGGGTCGCCCCTCCCGGCCTGTGCCAGGACCTGCACCCAGAACGCCGCGTCACAGAGGACCCAGCCGGCGGCTGGTCCGTGCGGCGGGCTTCTCTAGGCTGAGTCTCACCGCAGCCGCTGGAAACTCGCAACCTGAACACCAGAAATCCGGGCTTCCCTCGCGAAACATACGAAAGCTGACAATTTGCAAGGAACTTTCTAGAAAACTGTAACAAGCTATTAAAAAAAAAAAATGACTGTCCCAAAGTCGAGTTAACCGGAGTGTTTCTGGGCCACGGGGAAACTGGTGGACGCCCCTGAAACCGGGGGATGGCCTGGGAATATTGCAGGAACGCTCAACTTCGGGGGGTGCTGGGGTGTGAAACGAGTTTATGTCCTGTAGGTATCGTAGACAATGCCACGTCTTTCCTGTAGTTTCTAAAGGTGTACGCAATTAAAAGGGCAGAACGTTTTTGGCTGTTTTGTAAGACATTTTAGCAAGACTGGCCTAGATAACTCCCCATAATCCCCCTCTTAAGCCTCTGAGTTCTGGGGTGCTTAGTTCCCCCTCCTTCCTCCCCCCCCCCTTCTCTTCCCCATCCCTCGTTCCTTCTTTTCCTCTTCTTTTTCATCTTTTTGGATTCTATCTCTAGGTTTTCCGAAGTTAATTTTCATTTTCTGGGGTTGATTTTTAGAAATAAGGACACGTCTGTCAGTTGGTAAGAAAAGAAATTCCTTAGGTTATTATGAAGTTCAGGTCAGAAGAAAGTACATTGCGCCGCAAACAGCGTCTTTGGTGTCTGATCTCGCGCATCCCTCATTTAGGGGTTTTAAAACTGGTATAAATTAGGACCTTTGGTAAGTATTCGGGGCGGTAAGGGGTGGGGGGGGGAATGTGATTTACACGTCCTCCCACCAGAAGCAGGCCGAGGGGAGGGAACCCTGGCAACTGCACGCCACAGCTCTCCTGCAGGAGAGCGTAACCTGTCGGAACTGGGACGAAAACCAAACAAAAGGGACAGAAACGAGAGTGCCTGGTCTCCAGCGGCAGGGATTTGCAAGGAGTTTGCAAACAAGTTCAGACTTTGAAATAGTTTCAACACTATTTAGTTAACGATGTGACTTTTCCCCCCTTTTCCCCATTGAAAATTTGCAGTGTATATGATGAGAACATCACATATCAGGAATCATTCACCAGGTCTGGCTAGCCGGGTTTCCGTAGTGTAGTGGTTATCACGTTCGCCTAACACGCGAAAGGTCCCCGGTTCGAAACCGGGCGGAAACACATGCACCTTCTTTTTTTTCTCTTTCTTCTAACTATTGCTTGTTGTCTGGGCTTTTCAAAAGCTAGGCTCTCAAAACCCTGATGACAAATCCTGCAAGTGGCAACTTGCCACCTGAGGAATACGCTAAGAAATCTGTTTTTACTCAACTATTTTAATGTTGAAAACAAACACCCCGAGAACACCAAGCAAAAAGGACTGATGAGGTGGCTGTTGATCCACAAGTCAAACAAAACCAACTGTTAGCTCCGTCGCCTCTGGAACACTTTTGCATTAGCCACTTACTTTTTCCTCTCGAGATTCCGCTTTCCCTTCCATGCAAAACTGTGTTTTATTTAATCTGTATGACAAGTTCACTATATATTTCAGAATTAACCCGTTATTGAAAAGAGCCCGACAAAAGGGTAAAATTAAAAATAAATTTATACTCAGAAATATAAAATAAAGAAGTAGCCTCAACATTATTCTTATTAACACGTCAATAGTTTTATTCACGAATTCTTACAGAGATGTTATAATGCAAATATTCGGGTAGGGGGAAAGTCTCAGATTTTCTGAGACCGTCTTTTAAACTAAGTAAATTCCGTAAGGTCCAAAAACAACTTTTTTAACAACAAAGTTGTGGTTTTTAAGATTTAAGACGTCCGCAGAGTCTAGGGAGGAATCTACCCGAACACATCAAAACTTGCTGGCACTTTCTTGCAGGGCAGCGCTAACTGTGCGCTTCTTCCTTTACTGCAGAAAATCTGAATTCGATGTAAATAATTGTGCTAAAATTGTCCTGGTTCAGACGCAGGAAAACCTTTTTCCGGTAGAAAGCCCACCTTCCTCTCATGTTGCGCATGCTCAGTGCGTCCTGCTGGTTTGCTTGGCTTTCGTGCTTCCCTGCCTTCTGTCTGCAGGTAAGAGCCTCCTGAAAGATGAGCGTCAGCGGTCCGGCTCAAGCAGAACTCTGGGGGTCCCAAGAGCTTTCGGGTATGCAAGAGAGGAAGGAGTGATTGGTCTCGACTCAAGCACATCCCTCCCACCGGCCACGGTCAAGAGCCAGGGTGCACAGCGCCGCAGTCGCCACTGGAGGGGCGCTAACGAAGAGAGGATGACAGGAGGGGGAGAGAACTACAAGTCCCAGCATGCAGCGCGCAGCGCGGCTTCCGCAGAGGCTGGCTGTGCACTGGAGCCGGGGGTCGGCCCAGATGCTGTGGGCTGACCAGGTGAGCGTCTGGCGTAGGATGTGAGTGAGCACTGGAAGTGTGTTCCGGCGGCCCGGGCATGCCGGGACGGTAGCCCTCTGAGAACCAACTCGCCCGCCCTAGCGGACCTCGGGAGTCCTAGCGCCGGTGCCCACCCCGGACCGCACGTCCGGACGTGACGCCGCAGCGGAGGAGGAAGGGAGAGGCGGGGCGCCGCGGTGACGTCCTCCCAAGATGGCGGCGAGAGAGTGAAGAAACTGTTTCCCTTGGGCGGCTACCGGTGAGTGCCGCCCTCTGCCCGGCCCGCGGTCCTCGCGATCTTGGCTCCCGAGGTCCTGCGTGGCTTGGCGCCTCGGAGGTCGAGCGCGTTTGGGGGGGAGGAGGAGCTGTCCTGGGAGGGGCAGCGTCCGCGGTGGCCGGAGCTGCAGCCCGTGCCGTGGGAACTCGCGGGAGTGCGAGCTGGGAGGAGGGCAGGGCAGGGAGGCCCGGGCGGACTGGCTGGGGCTGTCACCCGGCGACTGCCAGGCTGGCCGCGGGCAGGCGAGGGGTGTGTCCGCCTCTGGGGAGTGGCGGGGCCTTTGACAGCCCTGGTCTGGTCGGGCGTTCCCGCCCCCCTAGCACTTGCCTTGCGCTAGGGAGGAACCACCCTGTCTAAGCCTACAGGTTTCAGTGACCAGAGAGCAATTAGAACAAGTCGCAGCGCGTTCTTATCCCCGCTGCCTCAAAGAGTCATTTCTTAGTTTGTTTAGGCACCTTCAGGTAAATATTTCTTCCGAGCTTGAAAGTTCGAGGGGTCAACTCTAAAAGTTTACGATTTTAGGACCCTTTTTACAACTCATGAAATTGACTTTGTTCGCCATCATTTATTGCATTGGCGTCCTAGTTCAGTAAAACAAAGACCACTTAATCACCTCGTGTGTTTGGTGAGGCTATGGGGGGGGGCGCAAAGTAAAAGCTCTCTCTCTTCGTGCTGTTTAGCCTTTGACCCTTCTCCACCCTCCCCTACCTCTGCTTGGGTGGATGTCTCATGAAAGCTGATGGTTATTGGCTTCACTGTCTCTTCTTGTCTTTCAGATCAAGGGTAAAATTCTGATACCAAAATGCAGTATTCGCACCACTGTGAGCACCTTTTAGAGAGACTGAACAAACAACGGGAAGCAGGCTTTCTCTGTGACTGTACCGTAGTGATTGGAGACTTCCAGTTTAAGGCGCACAGGAATGTGCTTGCCTCCTTTAGTGAGTATTTTGGTGCGATCTACAGAAGCACTTCTGAGAACAATGTTTTTCTTGATCAGAGTCAGGTGAAGGCTGACGGATTTCAGAAACTGTTGGAGTTTATATATACAGGAACTTTAAATCTCGACAGGTAAAGTACACGTTTTTCCTCAGTTATGAAAGCTAGTCAAATGGTCTTTAGAGCTACAGTGCATTCAGTTTCCCATCCACTGCACACTCATCCTCAGCCTTGATGTGCACCATATATACATGCACGTATATATGTGTTTATATGTGTGTATATGTATATATGTGTATGTGTGTATACGTATACATACTATATACAATACTCATACACACACATGACTTCAGTAGCTCTGTTTAAGATGAAAAGATGTTTGGTAATCACAAAAAAACACACCTTAACATCAAGAGTTCTGTCCAATGTACTTATTTACTAAAAAAAAAAAATCTTTTTTGAATTTTGCAAATGTGAATTTTCAATGGTAGATTCTAAGTGAATTTCAGTTTCCCATTGCTTTCGGGCTTCATGGTCCTCAGGCCTTCTGCTTATGAGGTGTTTGGAGTTGAGTGTTGAAAAGACCACCTCTGGGCTCACATCCTGGCGCCTGCCATTGCAGCTCTAAATAGCCATGTGCAGAGCGTCCTGACTGTGGTTCTAGACCATCACTTTGTGGGAAGATGAGGAACAAGAACTCTGTTGCTGTTGTTAACCTACCCAAAGCTTAATCAAGCCAGAGGTTTGCTGTGCTTCTCTTAAGACTCTAAGTATTGGGCTCCAGTGACGCCTCCAGTGGCCGGGTGCCAGCCATGCCAAAATGAGTAGCTGACTTTGGGTCCCCAGCACCAACAAGAAAGCAGTTTTGTAAGAACAGTGCGCCAGGTAGGCACAGGTGGTTCTCTGGATCCCACTAGCCAGCCTGCCTGCCTGCCTAGCGGTATCTGTGAGAGACCCTGTCTCATATGAGAGGGTGAGGAGTAGCAGAGGGAGACAGCTAGAGTCATCTGTGGCCACCACACACAAGCACACTTGCGTCTGCATGTATGTGTGCACATGAATGCCCACATACTCCTATGTCAGGAGATGCTGCTGCCCCTTCAATAGTAGGTTCTTCTGAGTCTTATCATATAGATTTATTGTGTTCTTCTATACAAATTAGACTAATAGTGATACATTCCTAGTTGTAGGAGAAAAGGTAGAGAGGGCAAAAACAAAGAGAATTTGGTCAAATTATGCATGCTTTCTTTCCTTCGTTTCTTGTAGGAAGCATGAACATGAGTAGAGTATTGATTGATAGAACAGATTTATAAGTCAGTCATGAGCTTGGCATGCAGAGGCAGGTGGATCTCTGTGAGCTCCAGGCCAGCCAGAACTACTAAAAGAAAAAAACATTACAGGCTTTGGAATTAGATCTTCCTAGCTGAGTGGTCCTATATCTCCTTCAATAAGCCCTTTCTGGGCCTTAGTCTCCTTGTAGATGTGAGGTGGTCATTACTATTGGTATTGCTTTAGAGATGAAGTGAAGACTTACTTGAAGCCCCACCTTGCAACAAGCGTTAGTTTACTTTATATTTTATATTCTTTCCTCTTTGCCATGTTTGCTTCTACATTCCTCAAATGAAGATTAGAAGGAAGAAGAACTGTGAAATTCTGCTGCCTACTGAAAAGCACTGTTTCTGTACACATTCTTTTCCAGACCACCTCTGCAGATGTATGCATGTATACAATTGAGATCCTTTCCTTGTGTCTTGCAGCTTATTATGAGAATGTACTTCTTCTTCTTCTTCTTTCTGAAAAGGAAGTATTCGTGTTTTAGACTTGTTTTATGGGAATAATCAGCAGTGATAAATTAATCTCCCACAGTTATTTAAAAGTGGTAAATAATTGATTAATTGGACGTTTTGATTGAGTGCTTCTGGTTAAAGAGTGTAGGAGCTCCCTTCCCTCGACTCAGTTCTCGCACTTTCTGAACCATCTGGCACCCGCCCTCTTCATCCAACAGCAGCTAGTTGGTGAGTTTTTTCTTACTAGCCATCCTGACCGTCCCCAGGACATCAGGTGATGACTGTTGACCATTCTGTGTGCCTGCTCTGCCTTGGGTGGGGGGTGGAAAGATGCACCTCACCATGCTATCCAATATGGCTGGCAGGCACATTCCATTCAGTTTAGATTGGCTGGAGGTCATTCTGCCAAAGTCCGGTGTCTGTTCCTAACAATTCAACAATTCTGTCAGTGGGTCCCTGGATTTCTTTTCAGACCGTTGTGCCTCCTTCTTGGTGGCAGAGCTTGGGTGACAATCCCTTCTTCCCAATGACCTCCCATTAGTAGTGAGATTGGCTCAAGAAACTGCTGCTCAAACCCAACATTACTGGTGCATCGTAGCACTCAGAATCTATCCCCTAGATTATCAACAAAAGGAAGCTTTGCAGTTTCTGTGGGTATGGAGAGACTGAAGGAGGCTCTTTTTCACTCTTCTCCCTCCTAGCCTCCCTCTCAGAGATTCTGCATGTCTCCACTTCTACATCTGTGCTAAGCCCTCTTGCCCTTACACCTTTTGTTCACATCCTATTGGCCATCGAAACTGCTGCCTCCCACCCAGAAGCCAAACTAAACCTTTGGTCCCACTGATAAGTGCCTCCCCCCACCCCACATTCTATCCTCTCCCTCCTCGCAGCCACATTCTGTCCAATTCCTTCACCCTCCCCTCTGCCTCTCTCATCTTGGCCCAGGCTGCTCCTCTTGGTTGGCACCCTCCTCCAACTCAGGTTCAACTCTGGATTCTCCCAGATGTCCTGATTCTGCCTATTCTCTCCCTTTTATTTACAGTAAACCTCTTCCACCATACCTAGGGGAGCTATCATATCCTTTTTTTAAAAAAATTTATTTTCATTCAACTGCTCTTGCAGAGGACTCTAGTTAAGTTCACAGCACTCAGGGTGACTCACAACTTTCTGTAAGCGCAGCTCTAGAGAAATCTGATGCTCTCTTCTGTTTCTGTGGGCATCTGCACTCAAATACACTTTCTCTACACATACACATACATATAATTAACAAAGATATATCTCATTAAAAAATCTTATTATTTCATGTGTATGGGTGTTTGTTTTAGCCTGTGTGTATGTCTGCATCACTTGCATGTGGTAGCCAGAAGAGGGCGTTTGGCTCCCCTGGAACTGAATGAGCACTCCTGTGGGTGCTAGGAGTGAAACTCAAGTCCTTTGGAAAAGCAACCAGTGCTCTTAATTGCTGAGCCGTCTCTCCAGGCCCCCAAAATGAAAGTCTTTCTTTCTCTCTGATAAAAAGGGAGGGGAAGAAGCAACGTAGTAGAAAATTAAGTGATCTTAAGAGCTAGATTGCCTTGGTTATTTCTTGGTTCTAACAAGTTCTTAATTTCTTTGGCTCTTTTGGTGGGGGTGGGGGAGACAGACAGAGAGCAGGCAGCAAGGGAAGGAGGGAGGGCGGGAGAAAATACGTGTTTGTATTGATTAGGATTGAACCCAGTGCTTCTTGTTAAGGTACCCAAGCTTTCTCCCACTGAACTTCCCCAGGCACAGCCCTTGAGAATTGTTACAAGTGATTAAATGACCTTCAGTGACTATCCAAAAGATAAAAAGGAGTTTGGAAGCACTGTAGCTTAAAACATATAACAAAAACACCTTTTTTAAAAAAAGATTTGTGCCGGGCTGTGGTGGCACACGCCTTTAATCCCAGCACTCGGGTGGCAGAGGCAGGAGGATCTCTGTGAGTTCAAGGCCAGCCTGATCTACAAGAGCTAGTTCCAGGACAGGCTCCAAAACTAGAGCAAAACCCTGTCTTCAAACAAACAAACAAAGATTTGTTTTACTAATTTTTTTTTTCACATATTTGTGGATGGCCTTGGAGTCTAGAAAAGAGCGCTGGGTCCCTAGGAGCTTGAGCTTCCTGGTGTGGGTACTGAGAACTGAACTGTTGTAGTCCTTCTTAAGAGCAACAAGATCAGTTTTTGAAGTAAAACTCTTGATTGGTTTTCTTCATCCAGTGTCTTAACTGAGATTATAGGCTGTGGAGTAATTTGTGCAGATTTTTGTTTTGGCATTATACAGTATGTGACCTAATGCTATTAGTTTTTTTGTTTTGTTTTGTTTTTAGAGTTTATTTCACCTTGCTATCTGTTTGGTGATTCATTTGATGGAACACAAAGCACAAATATACTCTGAGATTTAGTTAAATATATTAAGTGGTAGAGTAAACTTTATTTTTATTCTATGAAAATATGTATAATGAATATTTATTGTCAGTGGTGATGCTGTAACATACATGTAAAGTACATTTTCTGATATATGTTTGGGACACTTACACTTTTATTTTTACAAATGGAGAATTAATTGTAAAGATTCAAGGTCTATTCTAAAAATTACCACAATGAGCCATAAGAAAATAATTTATTGAATAATATTTTTTTATGTAGAGGGGAGACTCAGATATAATCTATGCCAGAAGTTGATAGGTAATAAGTTTAAAAACTTGAATGCGTTTTCCCATAGAATAAAATATTTTCACTGGGGGAATAGGTTTTTACATTCACTCATACGGCTCTTTAGCCTACAATGAGTTGAAAATGATTGTCATAAAAGACATTTTAAACAGCCAGGAGAACACTGAATGAGGCAAAAGTACAGCACAGTGGAACTCTCGGAGACCGAGTGTGACTAAGAGACTAGTGCACATGCAGGATAGTCTTGGAGATTCCAGACAGTCAGTGCTCTGATTATTTTTTATTTTGCTTCAAATTTTATCCCCTCTTAAAAAAAAGCAGTAACAGTATTGTCATCATTATATGTTTTCAAGTATAATTGGAGCCCTTTTACCAAGTTACAAGGAAGAAAGCAGAAGAGAGGCTATGTTAGTGAACCAAGTGACCCTTGGCACAGTGGCAGGTGGGGAGTTCCCTCAAGGGTATGTGTATCTGTATGCTTAGATTAGCTTGAGATGTCACCCTTCACCTTCATTAGCAGTTTTTTTTTCTTTTGAGACAGGGTTTCTCTGTAGTTTTGGAGCCTGTCCTGGAACTAGCTCTTGTAGACCAGGCTGGTCTTGAACTCACAGAGATCTGCCTGCCTCTGCCTCCCGAGTACTGGGATTAAAGGCATTTGCCGCCACTGCCTGGCCATTAGCAGTTACTAATATCAACTTAACTCTTGTTTTTACAACTGAGGAATTTTAAGCCAGTAATGTTGCCTTGCCCTGGTTAATTCATAGAATGCTAGACCCAGTGCTAAATATAGCAGTCACCCTTCTCTTGTACTCCCGGCAGATGATCAGTTTGACTGGGATGTTGAACAGTGTGGTTTGTCTCTCATACAAAGCTAATGAGATACACTTTCCTGGCAGTAAGCTGAGCTAGAGAGAGGTCAGCACATTCAAAACCTTTGTCCCTCCCAGTTGTAATTCATGAGCCAGCTACATTGACCTAGCAGGGAGTGCATTGCAGCTGTCGATTCTCTGGCACTATCAATGATGCCCGAATTTTAGTCTTCATTAACAAGATCCCTTCATGATTCATATTGACAGTAAAGTGTGAGAAGCATAGTTAAAAATACCTCACAGAGCAGAAGGGAGAAGTGGGAAGTAGTTTTCACTGAACTCTGTTGCGAGTTCAGAAAACTTGACTGGAATCTGAAGAAGCCTCAGAGGAAATGGGAGGAAGCAATGTATTGTCAACAACATTTAAAAAAGAAAATTAGCAGGGCATGGTATGCATGCCTTTCATCCCAGCACGCAGGAGGCAGAGGGAGGTGAATGCTATGAGTTTGAGGACAGTCTGGTCTATGTGAGTTTCAGGTTAGTCAGAAATACAGTGTTACCCTATGTGTGTTTTTGTGAGTGCAGATGCACCCGTGTGTACCACAGCATACATGTGGACATCAGAGGACAATTCTGGGATTAGTTTCTTTCTTGCTGAGGCAAGGTCTGTGTCTGTCTCTGCTGTAGGAACACTGAGATCCTAGGTATGCACCATCACATCGGCTCTTACACGGGTTTTTGCTTACTCAGCTAATGCTTTTACCTGTGGAGCCAGCTTACTGACCACCCAACAACCATTTTCCAATTTAAATGTTTTTGTTTTTGTTCTGTTTGTTTTTTGTTTTTTTAAGCAGTCAGAAAATAAGACATTTTGTTATTGTATAATGGTTCATCAACATCTATAAGTAGGCATTCTTTTTATTTTTTTTTTAGTATCTATAAAATCAGATACCTGTTCAAACATTCTGTCAAATTACATTTTATAAATTTGTTACTTAGTTTAAATCTTTCCAGAATTCTGCTTCATTATTTCTTTAAATGGCTATTTCTTTAAACGGCATTCAGGTGTATGTGCTGTTGCTTCAAGTTTTCCTTTTGATCAGAATATTGTCATTGAGCCTTGTTTCCTTACAGTTGGAATGTTAAAGAGATTCATCAGGCTGCTGACTATCTTAAAGTAGAAGAGGTAGTAACTAAATGTAAAATAAAGATGGAAGACTTTGCTTTTATTGCTAGTCCCTCTTCTACAGAAATATCTAGTATTACTGGAAACATTGAATTGAATCAACAGACCTGTCTTCTAACTCTTCGAGATTATAACAATCGGGAGAAGTCAGAAGTATCCACAGACTTAGTTCAGGCAAATCCTAAACAACGGGTATTGGCAAAGAAATCGTCTCAAAGTAAAAAGAAGAAAAAGTCTTTCAATCCACAGAAACCTGGACAGAATAAAGCAGCGCAGTACCCCAGTGATGTTTTAGAGAGTGCTCCTGTGGAGCTGTTCATAGATACAGGTAAGTTGTCCTCACCTGTAGACGAACAAGTCGTCCAGGGAAATGATAATACAGAACTCGAGTTGACCTCAGTTGTGGAAAATACTTTTCCAGCACAAGATATTGTACAAACTGTTACAGTCAAACGGAAACGCGGCAAGTCACAGTCACACTGTGCTCTGAAAGAACACTCCATGTCTAATATAGCCAGTGTAAAGAGTCCCTATGAACTGGAGAACGCTGGCGAAGAGCTGGATCAGCGGTATTCCAAGGCTAAGCCAATGTGTAACACGTGCGGGAAAGTGTTTTCAGAAGCCAGCAGCTTGAGAAGACACATGAGAATACATAAAGGAGTCAAACCCTATGTCTGCCACTTGTGTGGAAAGGCTTTTACCCAGTGTAACCAGCTGAAAACACACGTAAGAACTCATACAGGTGAGACTGCTTTGTTTTCCTGCTCTGTGATGGCTTGTGTTGTTTTGGTTTCTGTTCTGTTTGGTACTAGGGATTGAGCCCAGGGCCTCCACTGAGCACACCCTGTGCTACTAAGTTGAATCTCCAGTCAGTAGAGATGATATTAGCACACAGCATTGATGGCCTTTCCACAAAATTGGCCATGTTCTTTTATTTGTAAAATGTTTTAGCATTAAACTCTTAAAATCTTATTCGTAATTGTAACCAAGTATTAACAGCTTGTTGTTATAGTTGACACTTTTAAGTTCTAGTGCATCAGGTTATTACACCATTTTCTTTTATAAGCATAAACTTGGTCATGCTTTGCAAGTACTCTACCACTAAACTATAGCGCTTCACCCTTCCACAGACGGCTTTTTTATTTGAGACAGTGTCTTGCTAAGTTGTTAAAGATGGCCTTGAACTTGTCTTGTAAGTCTTGAATTTGCAGTGCCCCTGCATCAGCTTCCAGAGTAGTTAGGATTTTAGAGCTTTAGGCCTGGCTTGGTTCTAGCTCTTAAAGTATTTAACAGAGACAATATTAAAACTCAGTCCAATATTTACGTATTACCAATACTTCTTTTTACTTGCTATACTTCGTTGGTTTTTGAACATCGTTCTCTATCAGCTTCTTTGTTTATCTGTTTTACATGACCTGCTGGCAAAGTGTGAGCATCTATTAGTACACATAGTAGACATTGTGTTTTATACATTTTTCTTGCCTTTCACTGTTATGATGAATTTCTTTCCTACTAGTTAGTGTTTTCAGTAGTCTGGAAGGACATCCCGTTTGCTTTTGTTACTTAGAAGTTACCATTTTCTCTAAAGACAAAACCCAGTACTGTTAGTGCTCTTAAAGCCTTCAAAGTTTATAACTTTAGCAAGTTAAACAGGATTTTTTTTTCCCCTTCCTAATACAAATGTTATTGTTCTTTCAGGGGAAAGGCCATACAAATGTGAACTGTGCGATAAAGGATTTGCTCAGAAATGCCAGCTGGTCTTCCACAGTCGCATGCATCATGGTGAGGAAAAACCCTATAAATGTGATGTGTGCAATTTACAGTTTGCAACTTCTAGCAATCTCAAGATTCATGCAAGGTAAAAAAAAAACAAAATAAAAAACTCTGAGTTGATTAATCTTTAAGTAAGTTAATTAGTTAATTACTGTAATCTAATGAGTACTTTTTTTGTTGTTTTTTGAGATGAAGTTTCTCTGTGTAACAGCCCTGGTTGTCCTGGAACTCTCTCTGTAGACCAGGCTGGCCTCGAACTCACCGAGATCCGCCTGCCTCTGCCTCCCATAGTGCTGGTATTAAAGGTATAGGCCATCACTGCCTTCTTGGGTGGGATTTGTTGTTGTTGTTGTTGTTGTTGTTTGTTGGTTTTTTTTTTTTTTTGGATGAGTACATTTTTTTATGAGTGCCCAGAGCAAGCTTCATGTTACACCATGCTGATGATTTTATGCTTGCCCTACTGAGATTTCATCTTCCTTGCATTTCCTCATTCCTCTCTTTTGGGATGGGAGTTGTGCTGTGGAATGTGTGTAAGCTGTGTTTTCATTTTTACAAGTGCTCACAACTCAGTTGCCCTAAATCTCTGAGGCTTTAGACCTAGACTTCTGAGAGGTTCTCTGACTCTTAGAGATAGATGAATGCGTTCTCATGGGAGATGTGCTTGAACATTTAGGGCTGGAGGTAGAATTTAGTTTGGATTTGAAATACCTCCCGGGTTCTCGTTTCTGGAAGGTGTAATTCCAGCACAACATTCAGGAATGATTTTTGAGGAAGTGGCTCTGACCTTATCAGATTTAGGGGAGGTGACATTTAGGTGTTAAGACCTAGTTAAATAACTGAGTTGTGAGCCTCTAGGGATTGTGTTTTGCCTGGCCCACCCCCACGAGCTCTTCCTCTGCTTTTTCCTGATTGCTGTGATAGCTCCACCATGATCTTCCAAGGGACTGTGGCTACAGTAGACTCTGAATGCCTCTGTATGAGGGCAAGGTGCCTAGTACTTTATTCTCAAAGCAAATGAACTTACATTTTCACTTTTCACACCCTGTAACTTTTGATGGGTAAAATTTGACCATTTTATACCGTCTGTTTGTTTGTTTGTTTGTTTTGTTTTGTTTTGTTTTGTTTTTGAGACAAGGTCTTGCCATATAGCCCAGGCTCATCTCAAAATCCAAATCCTCCAATCTCTCCCTCCTGAGAGCTTAGATTATAAAAATATACCTTTGGTTGGAATTTTTGTTTGTTTTGTTTGTGGTGGTAGAAATTAAGCTGAGGGTCTCTAACATGCTAGACTTCATTCTCACTGTGCGGGTGTGGTCTTCAGCCCTGTCTTCAGCCCTGTCTTCAGCCCTGTCTTCCTTGGGCCATGCTTATCTGCACTTCCTTTCTAGCCAAACCTCCAAGGTTTTCAAAAATTCCCACTTTGCCTTTACTTGCTGTAAATCTGGCTAAAAGTAACCCATGACGTCTTTGTACTGTACGGCCTCGAAATTTCTTCCACTGGAATAGTTAAATCTTCTTTTCTGTATAATTTTTTTATTGATATTTATTGAGTTCTACATTTTTCTCTGCTCCCCTCCCTGCCTCTCCCCTTTCCCCTTCAATCCTCCCTCAAGGTCCCCATGCTCCCAATTTACTCAGGAGATCTTGTCTTTTTCTACTTTCTACTTCCCATGTAGATTAGATCTATATAAGTCTCTCTTGGTGTCTGCATTGTTGTCTAAGTTGTCTGGGATTGTGGTTTGTGGGCTGGTTTTCTTTGCTTTATGTTTAAAAACCACCTATGAGTGAGTACATGTGATAATTGTCTTTCTGTGTCTGGGTTACCTCACTCAAAATAATGTTTTCTAGCTCCATCCATTTTTGTACAAATTCAAGCTGTCGTTATTTTTTCTGCTGTGTAGTACTCCATTGTGTAAATGTACCACATTTTCCTTATCCATTTTTTTATCGAGGGGCATTTAGGTTGCTTCCAGGTTCTGGCTATGACAAACAAAGCTGCTATGAACATAGTTGAGCACATGTCCTTGTGGCACGATTGAGCATCCTTTGGATATATACCCAAAAGTGGTATTGCTGAGTCTTGAGGAAGATTGTTTCTGAGAAATCACCACACTGACCCCCAAAGGGGCTGTACCAGCTTACATTCCCACCAGCAATGCAGAAGTGTTCCCTTTTCCCCACAACCTCTCCAGCATAAGTTGTCATCAGTGTTTTAATCTTGGCCATTCTTAGAGGTGTAAAATGGAATCTCAGAGTTGTTTTGATTTGCATTTATCTGATGACAAGGATGTTGAACATTTCTTTAAGTGTCTTTTAGCCATTTTAGATTCCTCTGTTGAGAGTTCTCTGTTTAGGTCTGTACTCCATTTTTTTTTAATTGGATTATGTGATCTTTTGGTGTCCAATTTCTTGAGTTCTTTGTATATTTTGGAGATCAGACCTCTTTCTGATGTGGGGTTAGTGAAGATCTTTTCCCATTATGGAGGCTGTTGTTTTGTCTTGTTGACCAGGTCCTTTGCTTTACAGAAGCTTTTCAGTTTCAGGAAGTCTCATTTATTATTTTTTTCTCTTAGTGTCTGTGCTGCTGGGGTTATATTTAGGAAGTGGTTCCCTGTGCCAATGTGTTCAAGTGTACTTCCCACTTTCTCTTCTGTAAGGTTCAATGTGGCTGGCTTTATGTTGAGGTATTTGATCCATTTTGACTTGGGTTTCGTGCCTGGTGATAGATATGGGTCTATTTTCATTTTTCTACATGTTGATATCCAGTTATGCCAGCACCACTTGTTAAATATGCTTTCTTTTTTCCATTTGATATTTTTTGCTTCAGGTGTTCGAAGATGTGCGGATTGATATCCGGGTCGTCTATTCGGTTCCATTGGTCGTCCTGTCTGTTCTTATTCCAGTACCAGGCTGTTTTCAGTACTGTAGCTCTGTAGCAGAGTTTGAAGTCAGGGATTGTGATGCCTCCAGAAATAGTTAAATCTTTAAACCCAGTTCAGAGTCTTACAGCATGGATAAAATATACATAGGTTATTTGCCAGCGTGCAAAATTGTTCTCAAGTTCAGTTCCCGGCAGCACTGTTCTACAACTCGTGAACACGGTCTTTGTTGTCATAGTCCCTTTGGCTGTTTCTCTCCTCCCCCTCCCCTTTCTAAAAATTGTGGTCCAGTTGACCTCAAACTTTTACTATTTTCACCTCAGCCTCTTGAGTGTTGGAGTTATCAGAATGCATCCCTCAATCTACTTACTTGTCCACATTTCTGTGAGAATTAAGGTCTTCTGAATTTGTATCAGAATGACCCACTGAGCTCTTCTTGTGTCTTCCTAGAACTTCCCTAATCTGTATCTCTAAAGTCTCCCTACTTCCTCCTAAAGTCAATTCTAAAAGCTTCTGGACCACATTGTGAGGTAGTCCCAGTGAACTCATCACTGGTACTATTGTTTTCTATATACCCAGCTGTCCCTGAGACAATGTCTGAGGCAGCTACCCTAAGATGGAAAGATCTGTGTTGGCAGAGAGTTGCAGAGTTTTCAGTAGAGAAGTCTATTGGCTTCATAACTTCTGGGCCTTAGGTAAAGCAAACCAATATGTCAGAGAGGGTGTGGTGGAAGCCACTGCTCATCTTTTGGCAGTCAAGAAGCAGAAGCTGAAGAGGGCATTTGGAACAAGATAGATCTCTCCAAGGTATAATCTCAGTGACCTACTTCTTCTAATGAGGCCCTACCTAATATCACCACAAGCTGGGGACCAAGCCTTTGCACTTGGCCTTTAGGGAGCATTCTAGCTAGATTCAACTATTATTAACACTTGGAGTTAGGGGGTTTGTTTTAGTTTAGCTAAAACAAATTGAACATTGAAATGACAGTCAGAAGGAAAATAAGGTGTGTATATAATATATATATATATATTATATATGCACAGATGCTATATGTAGGGTGCAATGATATGGAACTTTTCTTTAAAGTACATTTTTATTTTGTGTGTGTTTGTGTATATCTTTACAATGGATGGCATGCCTGTGGAGGCCAGAGGACCACCCGAGGGAGTTGGGAACCCAATGATCAAACTTAGGTGACAGCAGGCCCCTCTGCCTACTGAGCCAACTCACTGGCCCCAGATTTTCTTGTGATTCAGTAAACTATGAACTAACTGTCCGCTGGGTGTGAGGGTGGATGAGGAAGTGCTAGACATGTGAGGAAGAACTTTCGACCAGTAAGATGGACTGGCAAAGGAATTGCTGTATTTGGGGTTTGGTAATAACTATTGTTCTGCTAGTTGCTTTTTGTCAACTTGACACAAATCTAGACATGTGGGAAGCTGGAATCTTGGTTAAGAACATTTTCTTCATCAGGTTGCTTGTAGGCAAACCTATAGGTCATTTCCTTGATTAACCATTAATGGGAGAAGTCCCAGATCACTGTGGTTGGTGCCATCCCTGGGGTATGTAAGAAAGCAGGTTAAGCAGGCCATGAGGACCAAGCCAGTAAGCAGCTCCCCTCCATGGCCTCTACTTCAGTTCCTGCCCTGTCTTCCCTCAGTGATGGATTGTGATTTGGAAATAGAAGCTGAAGTAAACTCTCTCCTCCCCAAGTTGCTTTTGGTTATGATCTTTATCACAGCAGCAGAAACCCTAAGACAACTATATAATGATGATGGCAAAAGTTTTGTTTAACTTATTTCAGAACTATTGTTTTGATAACTTAAAAAAATGGGGGGGTGGGTTTTACATAGAAACAACTATTGAATTTAAATGTGTAGTCTTAGCTTGTTAAGATGAAATAAAACGCTGCATGAAAAACTATGTAAAAAATACTTGATGTATGTACTGACCTCTAGATTACTCTACTTACCATTACTTTCTGTTTACTAACAGGAAGCACAGTGGAGAGAAGCCATATGTGTGCGATAGATGTGGGCAGAGATTTGCCCAAGCCAGCACACTGACCTACCATGTCCGTAGGCACACTGGAGAAAAGCCTTATGTGTGTGACACCTGCGGAAAGGCATTTGCGGTCTCTAGTTCTCTTATTACTCATTCACGGAAACATACAGGTAAGAGTTACATACAGAGAGACTAGCTGCAGTAAGAATACAGATAAAAGAATGGGAATTGGGCTCTTACCAAAGGTAGATTGTAGACTTCTTAATTAGATATCTACATTGGTATTTTTGGAGCTAAGTTCATGATTTTTACATAACTCTTAGATTAAATACAAGGTAGGTAAAAGTTTTATCTTGTAGCTTAGGCTTGTTGAAGTAGGGTAATTCTGAAGATAATATATGAATTGAATTGAGACATGTTTTTATGACTAGAGAAAACCTCATTAATCTTTTTTGAGAATTTATCTTCTTTGAATAAGCGTGTGAAGGGGGAATTAAGCTGGAGGTGGGTTAGACAACTTGTTTTGTGACCTGGGACCTCCTTTGCATAGATACTCTGAGATTTGGAACACAGACAGATGCATCAAGTGCAAATTACCAGTTCTGAAACAAGGGGACCCTTCGTTTGTAAGCTGGACTGCTAATGATCTTTCTCACATGTTTGTATTCTTCTTGGATAATAAAGTAGAAGCAAGATTTGAAATGTGGCTTAAATTTTTTATTTTTTTATTTTTTTGGTTTTAAGAAACACATTGCCAGGAGATCTCGTCTAGGAAAGATAAGACATTTTGCAGAAGTAATGTTTTAGTATGGGAAAAATATCAAGCTAGATAGATGATATAAAACTATAGTTTGTTATGTTGGATTACTGAAAATGCCTCTAAGATACAATGTAGAAAGGCTTTCATATAGATAATATTTAAAAGCTTACTTTAGATCACTTGTAATTGATAATATTACATTGGTATAGTACGCCACTTCGCTATCTTTTATTTTCCATCTAGGTGAAAAACCATACATATGTGGTATTTGTGGGAAAAGTTTTATTTCCTCAGGAGAGCTCAACAAACACTTTCGATCCCATACAGGTCTGTGTTTAGGGAGAACGTATCATTTTTTGTTCTCTCTTAATTCCTTTGTATATAAACCTTGACTTTGAAACCATTGTGGGCTATATAGTTTCTAGTCATAACTTTGTGGTAATAAGATTTTAGTATATTCATATCAGGTTTTTATTTGTTCATTTCTTTATTTTTTAAAGTTGTTTAGAGTATAATTTAAACTTGGTTAAGAATTGTGTAGATTTTCCAAGAAATATGCCAGATGTCTGTTAAATAAAAATGTTTGTAATAAATGAATAAATATTTTAAAAAATGAATAGATAACACCAGGGAGCTGTCAGAATTAGAAAGTGATGTTCTTATATGCAAGTTTCCAGAATAGATTATAATATCAACATGTTTATTTTAACATGTAATGTGTAAATAGGATGAAGAAAATGTTGAATATTAAAAATTAAAAGAAAAGAAAATGCTACTTTAAAAATATACTGTTCATTTCTTTTCAAAAACCTGTCTTCATAATTCTTGTCCAGAGTAATAGGAGAGTCTTGGTGAATTAATTGCAGCTCCTGTATCCTCATGTTCCTTGGTTTTGGGGTAAGGCATTATGTGGTTCTTCAGCCATCACCCGACCCCCATAGTGCTGGAGAGCAAACTCAGAGCCTTACAGGTGCTGGGATCGCAGCCTACCTCTCAGCTACATCCCAGCTCAAACAGTTCTTATTTGAAAGTACTTATATTGTAGAATATCATCAGTCTTTCTTAGAGGACTTCCTCATTGGTGAAGTGTATGAGAGCAAAAATTATAGCTATACTTTTTCCTAGTTCTGTAGCCAGATTTTAGCATATGAATGGCATCCAGTATGTATCTGATAGCAGTAAAAAAGGATTATTTTTTGAGAATTTCAGATAATGAACATGCTTAATTTCCCTGAAATTGGCTTATACTTTCTGTGTCTAGGAAATTATACCTCGGTGTCTAGGATTCTCATCTCACTGTCACAAGTGATTAAAGTGACTTTTTTGCTTTATTTTTATAACATTTGATAGTTTTGTGTCTGCTGGCATGTTGAAAATACCGAGTTTTTAATGTTCTTATCTTGTTTTTCAGGAGAACGGCCATTTATCTGCGAATTATGTGGAAATTCTTACACAGACATTAAAAATTTGAAGAAGCACAAAGCAAAGGTCCATTCTGGTGAGTGCATGTGCTTAAAGCCTGCGCTGTCCTGTGGTGGGGCCAGAGCAGGTCAAGAGAGACATTTCAGCAGTGTAAGTTAGACAGGTATTTAAAACTAGATGTCGGCAGATGTGGTGGCTCCTGCTCATCATCTCTGTAGTCAGGGAGCTGAAGCAGAAAGATCTGGAAGTAAAGACCAGTCTGACTCCAGATCTAGTTGTCATCCAGCTTGAGCCACATAGTGAAACCTTGTCTCAAAAACAAATAGGAAATCCCAAAGAAAACAGGACTCAAGGCTCCTGTGCTTAGGCCTAATAACCTAAATTCTATTCCCAGATCTCACAGAGAGCAGGGGAGAACAGACACACATATATACACTAACACACACACACACACACAAGTAAACAAACTGAATTTTAGAAAACAAAATAGCAAAACATAGATATATACATATAAAGTCGTTTTGTAATTTACAGAAGATTTGTCATTCCACTTCTTTTGAAATATTGAACTTCAGTTTTGTTTTGTTTTGTTTTTAAAAAAAAAAAACATGAAATCTTCAGGGTCTGGAACGATAACTCAGAACTGCTGCTCTTCCGAGGACTGGGTTAGAGTTGCAACACTGACGTGGCAGCTCACAATTGTCTGTAACTCCAGTTCCAGTAGAGGGTTCTGATGCCCTCCCTCTACTGGCCCCACAGGCAACAGTTACATGTGCAGGCAAAACACTCGTACATGTAAAATAATAATAATAAAAAAATACTTCAACTATTTCCTCCTTTAAAAGTATGACTTGCCAGCCGGGCAGTTGTGATGCACACCTTTAATCCCAGCACTCAGGAAGCAGAAGCAGACAGATCTCTGAGTTTGAGGCCAGCCTGGTCTACAGAGCAAGTTCCTGGACAGGCTCCAAAGCTATACAGAGAAACCCTGTATCTTAAAACAATCATATATATGTATATGCATACCTACGTGTACACGCACACACACACACACACACACACACACACACACACACACACACACGATTTGCCGCAAAGCATGGTGGCACATATCACACACCGAACTTAGGGGACAGAGGCAGGAAGAGTGTGGTTCAGTGTGAGCTACATGGGCATCCCTGACTCAGAACAAACCATGACTTGTGAGTAGTTTCAAAAATGAAAGTTAATATAAGCAAGCTAAATAGCCTTATTCTCCAGAATGCAGTCTGTGTGATTCAGACAGCAGTTCGGAAGAAGAGAGCTATCATGAAGAAGAGCCTAGAAATGTGGAAGGAAATAGAACTCTGGTAGATCAAAAATGCTCCATTAGTGTAGGCAGCCAGAGTGCAGACTTGTAGGCCTGTGTCTCACTGTACTTACAGCATTCTACCAAGATGAAAAGTATCACAAGTACGTAGATGATGGTAATGGGTGTGATAGAATGCTCACCTAGCATGCATGAAGCCCTAGGTACAATATCCAACTCCAAAAACTAAACATCCTGTTAATAAAAGTCATTGTAAGGGTTAAGGCAGAAATATCTGACAACTGCAGTGAGTGTTCAGCAATCCATTTAAAATCTATGGAATACACATAACTGCAGGGCAGACAGTTGAGCAAGAGCTTACAGCCTGGATGTAACTCCAGAGATCTAACTAAATAAGATTGTCAGACATGGTAAATACAAGTGCTAAATAAGAGTTCTTCTGAAGCATTGGAATGGGTTTAAATTTAACCTAGACATGGAAGCCCATGCCTATAGTCCCAGCACTCAGGATGCTGAGGGAAAAAAGCAGGCTGACTGCAAGTTCAAAGCCAGCTTGGGCTGCATAATGACAGTATCTAAAAAGGGGGGGATTGTCAGAAAAGAAAAAAATTATTCTTATGAAGTTGAAAAGTTCAGAGAATGGAGAGAGCAGGATGGGCCAGTTCAAGTAGAAGACATTGTGATGCGTCACCAAGATGAGACAGCACAGGTTGTTTGTTGACTGGTTAGGCTGAAGAAGACAGAGAATTGAAGCTTAGTGAGACAAGTGATGTACTGTTAGCTGTCTGCTGAGGCTGCTGGAGTCCTGTCAGCATTTCTGGGGTGGCAGCAACATGTTAAAAGCAGTAATAAAGTTAAGCAAAGGTGCATCTTTAGTCAGTGTGACAGTTTCTCACCTCGGGAGAAATGATAAGCGTTGTACTGCAGACTTAAGCCACAGAATAATAGGAACTGCTTGTTAAAATAGCCAGTGTACAAAGGTTTATTTACTTTACTGCCCGTGTTTGGAGGGAATTAGAAAAGTGTAGCTGAGCATTTAGCCTCAAGGAATGTCTAACCCAGTTAAGGATTTGAGGCATGACTGAGTAGAGTGTTAAACAAGAGTAAGAGGAATGGGTGCCACAGGTAGGAATATAAAATTTGACAAATATGTAATAAGGTAGATGAGAAAAAGTTCACCCAAGTTTCGAATGGTTAAATCTATTTATGTACTGGTATTTGTGCTTGACTCTGCTCTTGAAGCCCAGATATGCCCAACGCTAAGTATCAAAACAAGCTTAAATCAGGCACATTGGTGAGAAACAGGTCGCACATGGGTTTGGAGACTAAGTGTAATTTCTAGGACTTGTAAGTAGATTAGCCTACCTCAGACAATTCTTTAGTTTTGTATTGTTAAAGACAGGATACTTTCTGACTTCCATTTCAGGTACAGATAAAACTCCAGATGGCAGTGTAGAGGACCATGCTTTAAGTGAACAGGATCCCACACAAAGAAGTCCTTTGTCAGAAACTCTAGATGTGAAGCCTTCAGAGGTGACTCTCCCCTTAGCGCTTCCGCTGGGAACTGAAGACCATATGCTTCTGCCTGTCACAGACAGTCAGTCTCCAACGTCTGACACACTGCTGAGGGCAACTGGGAATGGATTTTCAGAGCCACAATTGATTTTTTTACAACAATTATATTGACTTTGAGGGCGTGGAACTGCTCAGACATCCCTGGTAGTAAACATAAACATCTCTGGTAATGTGCATTTTCATATTAATCCCCATTCATTTGAGCTGTGTGGCCATTATGTTATGTGTAGGAGTAGAAGCACCCGACCCTGCATCCATCAGTGCTCATGCTGGGTTTTGGCTCTCACTGTTAACAGCCTTTCAGGGAGAGACTTCACTGTGGCAGCACCATTTTGGGCGGTAAGTTTTAGACACGGTTACAGCTGCCTTAATTCTATTCTTATTTTTGACTTCTTTGTTCCTGAAGTAAAATCTGACCTGTGGATTTTTTTTTATTGTTCTTTCCTAACTGTTTAAGCAAAATCTACAGTACTATCAACTTCAAAGTGTTTCTGTTTGTAAACCCTGTGGACCAGTATATAAACTGTTGGGGGGCTAAATTTCATATTTATACCTATGAAAATTTAGATACTAAGGAAGAATTGTGCTATTTATTAATATATTCCTTTAAAGGTAACTTTTCTAATAGAGCCAAAAGAAGTATTTCTCTTAAAACCCAGAAAAATGTATGTACATTTTTGTTCATTTAGAATGAACTTAGTACTCTGGAGAAAGCCAATAGTCAAATCAGTTTTTGTTTTGAGTTGAGACTATATTTTTTTAAATAGATATTTGGTGTTTTTAAGTGGTCAAAAGACGGTTTTGAAGTTTGATTCATTTTCTATTTTATTAGATTTGTAGATTATTGGAAGTGAATATATAACAAGTTTGAAATTTTTGATAAGCCTATCTTTTATCGGATATGCACTTTTTAAAATAAATGTTCTAAAAAGAATTTTCTAGATATAAAATACATAGTAGAAATCACTTGGCTTCTCAATTTGATATTATTGCATAGAAAAATCAAGAAACTTGAGTAGCTTGCCTAAAGCAACACACACACACACACACACACACACAAACACACAGACACACAAACACACACACACAAACACCCACACACACATAGGATTACTATCCTAACTTCAGTTATAAGCTACACTTTTTGATTATCAGTTTATTTACCATTTTATATTTGAGTTTTCTATAAGTATGGGCTTTTAAATTTTATAAATCAAACTACAACTTTTGGTTGTTGGCTCTAGCTTCATAGTGGTCCTTCCATTCCAGGAGGACGTAGAGAATTCAGTGTCACCCCATCGTAGAAACTTGCTGCCACTTTCCTCCATATTAATTTATTTCACTGCCTCACCCTTGTATTTTAAATTACAGTTTCAGAAGGTTAGTTCTCATAGTACTTATAAAAATCACGACTATTTCTCATTTTTGCCATGAGTTAGTTTTGCTTACTTGTTTTCATGATTTAAATTACACTGAAATAAATTCAATATGTTTACCAATATTGAATTCTTTAGTCATAATTCCCTGTTTGGGTCCAAGTCTCAGAAATGAGAAGACATAATAAAAACACTCAGTTCTTATAGACTGAAGTAGCGATACCTTATGTAGAGCATATAGCATTTTCACAATAAATTACCACCCAGTGAACCGACTTAACTGGAGAGAGTGTGAAATAACCACCTTTGTATAATGAACTTATTATTTTTACTATTAGCTAAGAAATCTGTGTGTATGTTAAATGAACATTCTGAGTTTGAATAAAATTTGTAAGGTTATGAAATGTTCAGCTAATTATTCTGGTTTGAGATCAATAACAATTTGCTGGAATGTAACAAAACTAAAGAAAATTTGAGAGTCAACCCCTTTTAACAGGTTTGGAGAGGTTTTGTTTAATTCACATCTTCATTCATCCAAGCATCTAATTCTTGGGACTGCCAACCAGCTCCCAAATAAAGACATGGAGACTTATTGAATTATGAATCCTTGGCCTTAGTTTAGGCTTGTCCCACTAGTTCTTAGTTCTACACGTTTCTAGGCATCTATGTTTACCTTGGGGTTTTTTGCCTTTATTTCATTCTGTATGTTCTACTCTTCTGCTTCCTCCATATCTGTCTGTCTGACCCCTGGCATCTCCCTGCCTTCTCTCTTCTTTGCTCCCCTAGCCTAAATAACTTCTACTTCCTCTCCCTGCAGGAAGTCCTATTCCTCCTCCCTTGGTGTTCGCAGTTCAGCTTATTAGACCAGTCAGGTACCTCGGCAGGCAAGGTAAAACAGCACACATCGTCACATAGTTAAACAAATGCAACACGTCTTTACATAGTTAAACAAATATTCCGCCACATAAATATGGCACATCCTTGCATTTTTTAAAGTGCTATAGTTAACTGACATAGTAGCACGTATCTGCAGTCACACATTCTGGAAAGTTGAGACAAGAAGACTAAAAAGGATTCTAAAAACTGCTATGATGATGTCATAGTTACATAAGGGCAAAAATTGCCCATTTTCCTCAAATGTAATGATAGTCTTTTTGTATTTACTTATCTTTTTAAATTTTCAGCTAGTCTCACTTTATAGTCCAGACTGCCCTAGCTCTTCTGTGCAGCCTAAGGTGTCCTCATATTCAAGACTCTCCTCCCTCATCCTCCAGACAGGCAATGCAATGGCTAACCTGGTAATTAGAATTTTGAAAGCTTCCAAATTTGTCATTTGCAGCATTATTTTATATGGTTGCAATATGGAATAGGTAAGTTTTCTTTTTAATTTGCATTACCTGCATAGCTAAAAATTTTAAGTTGATGTGGCTTTAGTTGCCATTTGCTCTTCCAGAATTCCATGTGAAGAAAGCCCGGGTGTTCTCTCTTCCTTTTTCAGTACTACACTGTTTCTTATTCGAGCCTGTGTGTATTGTAGATATATCTGGTCATCACTCGAACACACAGAATCCTTGGGCTAAACACTTTGTTTTGTTGTGATGTGGTGGTGTTTTGGGAAAGATCTGTAAGTATTACAGAGGATTTTGAAAGTCTTTAAAATGCTGAATATCTCAGAAACTATGTTCTAGTTTTGTTTTGTATTTGTGTTATTTAACTCTAGTGTTAACTTTTAGACTTTTTAGAAAAGAAATTGTAGATTATATGTTATATGATTTTGCTGTTTATCAAGGTTTATTTTGTGGTTAAGACTCTCAGGGTCCAAAAAGATTCACTACAGCAGGCAAAAACTGGCTGGGGAAGGACAACCCGACTGACCTGAGCACGGCCCTCCTGCGTGTTTCTTTATTCCTTGGGGGAAGGAAGGGAAGGAGGAGGAAAAAGGGGCTGTGCTCCACAAAAGCTTTGAGTTTTATAGGCATCCAGACAAGTTAGCAGTTGCGTAGGCGGTAACAGTAGTATCAAACATGCATTTTACAAAATTAAAAAAAACCAAAAAAACAAAAAACAAACAAAAATCCATGGGCCTGACAACGAAGCATCTTACACCTCAGAGGGGGCATGGCTGTGAAGCTCCCTGACAGCTGGGAACACAGCCTTGGTAGCCAGGGTCTGGGAGGGACGCAAGGTGCCTGATTTGCCTTAGTGTAGTTGGCTGAGTTAAAAGGAATCTCTTTGGAGGTTTGCTTTTGACTCCAGCAGGATGTCCAAGTGAGAATTCTCTTCTCTGAAGCTAATTTTAGCAACTCAGGCCTTTTTCCTATATAAGCAGTTCATTAACATGTTAAAACCAAGGTGAATGGTAATAACAGCATATTAGCAGTTTCTTAAGGTAGGGCAGACCAGTAGATTTCACCTTTCTGAGTTTCTGTTAGAGCAGACATATTGGCTCCTGTTTAGGGCTCCTTTCTTATCAGTGAGTGTTGTCAGTTAAGTTGTGGGGCACTAGTTTTATGTGGATTTTGACTATGAGAACAAGGTTTGACTGAGTGAAAGAATGCTTTCACACCAGGGCTTCGTGGTTTGAGGGAAGGTGTCCAGTTGCCCTACAGGAAAGTCAGGTTTACACTGCTGGGATACTATAGGACAGATGCATGCTATAGGTTTCTACAGAATTCACAGTGACTTATCCAGAAGACAGGTGTTTCCACAGCTGCTCAACGGGCTTCTCCATGTGAATGTGTCCGTATACATTTCCCGTGGGTCTGTCTGTTGGTCTGTCAGCTGTGCATCTGCTCTGTAATATCTGTGTTTAATTCCTTGGGATCATTTCAGTAGACCATTTTAGAAAGCCTTTTCAAGATTGAAAGTTCTGTCAGTTTATTGCAAAAATAGTTTATCGTTTCTGTACATTTTAATCCTACAGGAATGACACTACCAGAGTAGTTAAAGCAGGTAGTTAATTATATACACTAATTTTTAAAATATCCTAGGCCAATATTGTAATGCCTTTACTCCTATCAGAATGGCGTTTAAGAATAATGACATCCATACCCAGTTCAGCTTCATCCACTGAGTCAGAGGTGCTGGGGCAGTTGTACTAGAAAAGCCCTGCGGCTGACCTCAGCGTGTCCTAACCCTGGGAGCCGCCATCCTGAGCACTCTCGGTGCTCAGTCTTGAGAAGCACTTAAAATGGAATTCTTGAAATATAGTTTTCTATCTTTTACGTGGAGATTTTAGTTTATTATTTGGCTGTAAATACCACCAAATATAAAACAAATAAAGTTGTATTTTTCGCTTGCTCATTTGAACAACAATGAAATTGAGTTATCGGAACATTGTGTTTGTTTGTTTGTTGTTTGTTTGAGACAAGGTTTTCACCGTGTGTAACTGTGTTGAGCGTGGATGCATCAAATAGCCCAGAGTGGCCTGAAGTCACAGTGATCTTCCTGCCTTAGACTCCTGTCTTGGGGTTATAGCTATGCATTCTTCTCTTGAGACCATGGTACAACCTGTTTTTTTGCTTTCTTCAACCCTTTCCCCCATTTACTGATGAAAGATTTGCTGTATTTAAGGATTTATCATATAAACATAGTAACCTTCCCAAAAAATGTATGAAAACAAATAACTCTACCCACCTTACAGTTAGGTGAGAAAAACCAACAACAGAAAAATAAGCCATAATGCTGAGTACAGTACAGGAGGTTAAGAAAGGAGGTGTGAGCGGTCAAGAGTAGTTCACAGGCAGACAGTGAAATGACTGACGGAAGTGACGTGTGGCTGATTGAAGAGGAGCTAGGCAGAATGGAGGAAGTGTCCGGTGAGAAGTAGGTAGCAGTCAGCTCTGGCTAGCATAGCACCCATACTGATTTATTTGAAATAGTTTTGGGCAGGGTGACAGTGCTAGCCACATTTATAGCCCACGATATCTGGTGGTTGACTGCTGGAGGGCAGAGATCAGACACCCAGGTTTGTGACATGATTCCATGCTAGTAACCTCAGTTGACCCAGTGCCCTACCAAGGAGAAGTGGTCCTTAGGCTGACAGCTGGTCGCACTCCCAAGAACTTGGGTCATGAGATGCAGCAATATTAAGTAAGATAGGGAAATGAAAAGGCCCTTCAGAATTGGCCTGGAAGTCAGAGGAGAAAGTCCAGGTCTACAGGAAGTGAAGTGTACTAGAGAATGCTGGTGTTTTAACCAAGAGATCACATCTCACACAAAGACATAGTGGAACCGTTTCATAGAACAGCAAGGAAATGAGAGTGTGGAGGGGAAATAAGGTCAGCATTATTAGGTTTTGCTTTGTTTTTTTTTTTTCCTTTGTCGTGCAATGTATTCTGATCATTGTTTTTCCCTCCCTCTGATCCTCCCAAGCTCCTCCATACTTCTCTCTACCTGTATCACTCCAGGTCCGTTGTCTCTCTCTTAAAAAAAAAAAAATGAAAAAAAAAGGAAGGAAGAAAGAAAAAGACACACAAATGGAAGCCAAAATACAGTAAAAGACCAAATAAGACAGAAAATACCCCAAAATCAATTTGAGACAGTCTACAGGAAAGCAAAAACAAAAACCATTTGAGTTTTTGTTTGTTTGTTTGTATTTTTAAACAGGGTTTCTCTTTTTAACGGCAATAGCTGTCCTGGAACTTGCTTTGTAGCCCACACTAGTCTCAAACTCACAAGAGATCCACCTGCCTCTGCCTCCTGAGTGCTGGGATTCCAGCCATGCACCACCACCTGATAGTTTTTTGTGTGGCCATCTACTACTGAGCGTGGGGCCTGTCGTGAAGTGAGTGGGTGTTGGCAGCGGATAGCTTCTTGGTTAGGGGTGTGAGCCCATCTACTGCCTCTCAGCGCTGGGACCCTGTCTGACTTTAACTGTGCAGGCCGTGAGTGCTGCCAGTCTTTGAGTTCTTGCGTGCACCAGACCTGTTGCATCTGGAGGATACTGTTCCCGTGGAGTCGTCCACCCACCTTGGCGGTCATCTTCTTCCTGAGGTGGTGTGCAGAGGACATTCTAGTGCCATGAATGCTCAGCAGTGTGGGGAAGGCCTCCAGCTAGGAGTGTTCCATGACGGCGAGTGCTGTCCGCAGCAACAGGGCCTCACCGTCTGTAGAGAGTAACCAGGAGTCTGCTGTAGCTTGAGTTGTTTGGGGGTCTCCTTAGGACCCTCTGGCCAACAACTGAATTTTATGTAATCCATTCCTAGCACTGGAAGTTTCACTTGGTTGTGGAATATTCTCTCCCCTGCTGTTTGGCGACTTCATTTAGACTTCTTTCATGTATGTATATGTTTTAGGAAGTTTCTATAGTAGGGTTCTTAGTGTTAGCTGTCCTTCCTTCACCTCTCTCTTCCTCACCCACCCCTTCCCAGTCAGTCCTCCCACTCTAGGCCCCTCCCACTGCCATCTC